TAAAAAAAAAGTTTGACTTATGGTTAAAACAATTTTGTCTAGTAACATAAACAAATAACCATCTTTGTAGTTGAAAATCTCAACTAAAATAGCAAGATAAAAGCTCAACTAAAACATTGTCATATGTTAAAAAATTAAATTAAAATAAATTGTCATATAAAAAAAATTTAACTTAAATTTTAGGCAGAATATGCTCTAAATGAAATGCTTAAGTTCAAATTAATATAAATAATAGTAAATGTATCTGTTCTTAGATACTAATTTGTTTCAGCATTGTTCATCACAATATATCTAAACTTCACACAACTATGTCAAATTATCCAATGGGAAGGTAAAGAACTCATAAGCAAAACAACTAACACTTACCATGTTCTTTGAGAACTTGTTAGGTGGAACATCATGCATGTCCCAATCCCTTAATTGGGGAAAGCTCAATGGACCAGGTTTTGATGCTGGTGCTCACATTTGAGAGCAAGTTGCAGTACTCATTGTAACATGTAATATTGTTCTGTTCTTCTTTTTTCCCCTTACAAGAATCCATGTAAACAAGGATAAATTGAAAGATTGAAAAAGTTTTACCAATTCAAGAGAGTTGATTGAGACTGCTTTGTAGGAATCATCCTCAAATTTAAGAAGATTTAGTTGGTGCAATTGCATTATGTCACTAATGAAACCTAATTAGATTTAAAAAAAATTTAATTTGATTCTGATGGTGATGTTGTTGTGATTCAAAATTTTGATTTCGTAGGGAGACTATTTTGCAGAACTCATCCTAAAATTTGAGAAAATTTAGTGGAAATAGGACTTGTGACCAATGGAACAATCATAACTCAGACATCTTATATCTTAGAAAATTTCTAATTTGATTCAGTTTGTCTCAGTCAAATTAGATCTAACAAAGCTCTAATTTGGTCCATAAGAGGTGAACAAGAACTACAAGCAAGGTGAAAAAAGTGGTGATATTGAGATATGTAGGGGAGATGGGAGGCAATGCACACACTATCTTCTTCATACTATTCCTCATGTGCATTGGACATTCTTGTACTAATGCTACATAATGTCCTCTAATTTACCTTTCTGATACTGCTGTGATCCCAACCCTCCGTTACTACAATCAACAAGGACAAAACCATAGGTCACAATGTAATATCATAATACCTCATTCTGATGTCCCACATAATAATGGCATATTGCAGACAAGTCCAGCTCTGCATGTGGATGATAGTCTCCAGGCAAATGGATGCAGAGCTGAGACTGGAAGCTGGTGCTGCACCTTCAGACCTGCTCTTTATTTTATGAAGTGAAGTGACAATAAGCCTAATCTTAATCTGCAAGTCACCCTCAACTCTCAGAATAAGAAACATTTAAGTCTGTACAAAGGCAGGGGAAGATAGAGGGCAGACGTGTACAATGATTTGCAGCTAACATTACTTTGTGGCATCAAATCTGATGATCTGTCCAGGAAAATGATGGCAAAAGCATCAAAGTACTCCGATATGAGATTAGATTAAACTCTAAAAGGAGATCCATCAAGCTGGAGAAATTAGTTCTCTGATGATATCAGCAGTATAGTCTTTAGATTTTTATGTTGTTATCTGCTACATGGAACTTGAGATTTTTATGTTCTTGACGAGTTTGGAAGGATTGAAAGCATCAACTATTCTATTTACATATAGTAAAGCTCAAAGGGAATCTAACATTAATGCTTAGGATTGATTAGTAAAATGACAATCTTTTCTTGGCTGACCTGAGTGACTCTGTGAAATATAAATCACAAGCAAATTTGTCCCCAGTTGGCCAAAGAGTTAAAAGAAGCCTTCTTCTTCTAATGGTCAAACTCCAGTTCTTCTGCAAGAAAATAAATCAGATTTCCAGTTCCATAGATGTCATTGGTGAGAGAAAAAGTTAGTCAGACACCACCCTAAATACTTGATGCTTTTCAATGTAGGGTGCCGTCAGAAGCAGGCAAGCTTTCCACTAAATGAGGCACCACACCGCGAACTGGTCGACGTACTGACCATTGGGAGAGGTCAAAAAGAAGCCCAAAGAGAGATTTCAAATCATTCATCGATGATTTGCTTGCTGAGTCTTTGCTTGGTTGTTTTCACTACTAAGCAAGGACGGTTCATTGCGTTATGTAATGCTCCCATCAATATAGATTCGATGTAGATTTGAAAGAATTAATATATACAATTTTATCTCTGTAAATAAAATAAATTAAAGAGTTAATATACAATCACCCCTTCTAATTTTTTTTAATATTTCGAGTGTTATTCTTTTACTTGTTCAAATGTTATTTGAATATTATATGACATATGATATCATATACTCAAAAGTTTGATCCAATTTATATTTTTATTATGTATATTTATTTTTATAACTTTCAAAAAAAAAAAAAAACAAGTTGGGAGTGTATGCAGTGAATTTTACTTGCCATCCTCAGTCGATGATAACCAAACCGACCAACACATTGTCTTCTTCCCCACATAATAAGCCGCACGTCGTTTCGCACTCCTTCCTGCGTTGACAGCGAGCTGCCACCCGCCACCACCTCCTCCTCCTACTCCTCCTCGTGCTCCTTCCCCCTCCGTCGGCGGAACTCCAAGTATATAATAATCGTAGACGTTAATTGGCTACTTCAAGGTGTTCGACCATAATCCCTCCTCCTCATTCTTCTTCGTCTTCTTCTTCTGATCTCAAATTGCACGGAATTCCCTGCCACTTTGTGAAGAGAACCATGAGCGCCAACGCGCCTTTTACCGCGAAGTGAAGTCCAACGGCAAGGAGGCGAGAAATGGATGCCCGGATGATGCGAAGGCACGCGTCGCAGGCGAGTCCGGAGAGGTCCAAAGTGTGGACCGAGCCGGCTCTGAAGCAGCGCCTGCAGGAGCGGCAGCGAGGGGGGAAGATTCCCGTGGTGTACTACCTCTGCCGGAATCGCCACCTCGAGCACCCGCACTTCATCGAAGTCCCGCTCTCTTCCCCCGAAGGACTCTACCTCAGAGGTTAGTGTGGACCGGTTTCGGGCGAATGGGAGAGAAAAGGAGCGATCTTGATGCATCCAGGGGTTGACTTTTCCTGTGTGTGTCTCTTCCTCCGTAGATGTGATCGACAGGCTTAACGTGCTGAGAGGCAAGGGGATGGCCGCCATGTACTCCTGGTCCTCCAAGAGGTAAATTTCTCGAGATTGGAGACCGCAAGAACCCTAGATTTCAACTCTGCAATCAGCTAATGGGTCGGCGATGGTGCAGGAGCTACAAGAATGGATTTGTGTGGCATGACCTCTCCGAGGACGATCTGATCCTGCCGTCGCAGGGCAATGAGTACGTGCTCAAGGGTTCCGAACTCTTGGATCAAACCCCTCCAGGTACATCGTGGATTTACATCTAGACTATATCTAATTGTTAGTGAAGTCAGAAGAATATAATTCTATGACCAGATTGAATGATGCTTACGTTCGATTCAGATCGGAACAGTCATGGCATAAGCAATGGAATGACCCAGAATCTGAAATACCCTATGCAAGAGCCACCGGCAATCTGTTATAAAGGCCAAGAAGCTTCTTGTTCTTCGTCTTCTGCAATGATTATGATTAGGGAGCCTAAGCTTCCCCCGCCGTCACCGAAGCAACCAACTCCTCCTCATTCTCCTGCTGCACAAGGATATGTGCTATGTCCCTCGGCCTGTAGATCAGGCTCCTTGGGGAACTTTTCACCGAAGCCTGGTGCTAGAACTTCCCCGCCATCAGCATTGGGTTCCCCGAACTCGATGGAGTACAGGATCTGCAAGCCCATTGGAGCTCAGGATGCCTCCACTCAAACCGACGACCGAGGAAGTATGAGTCATGGATCGATCACTCGAATTGTTGGTGTCCCAACAGATGATAGGCCTCGAAATGAGCAGACAATGTGTTCAAAGGAGGAGCTTGAAACCAAAAATGTTGAGAGATCACCACCTTTAACACTTCCCAGTGATCCTTCATGTGGGAAGATGAATACCTTGGAGTCCTTGATTAGAGATGAAGTAAGCAGAAGGAACAACTTTAGGATTATGGAAGCGGAGGAAGTTTTCCTCCCAAACAGGTCAAAATTTAAAGCCACAAATATGCTTATGCACCTGATTACTTGTGGATCAACCTCTGTGAAAGACCACTATGGCCTTGGATTTATGCCAACCTATAGGACAAGGTTCACTGGTACAAGTTTCTCCTCACCATTGTCTGCCAATTCAATGGTTCTGGGGGGAATTAATGGCTTGCCAGAGGGCCGAAGAGAAATTGGTGTAAGTCTGAAAAAGAAGGGACATTTTAGTGGGAGCATGATTGAAACAAACAAGTACAAAGAGGAAATAGTGGAAGGAGTTTCTAGTCTAAAACGATCATCTTCCTTTGGTGAGGAAAGGTAGTGCAGAATTTAATTGCTTCAATCAATATTCTGAATAGAAATATTTCCATGTAAGTGTTGATGTTCTGCATATATTCGACTTGATTGACTAGCCTTTAGGTAAACACGAATGGTCTGAAAATCATAACATAAGTATGTTTATTGGGGAACGAACTTGGAAGCTCGCTTTGTGATATCATTGCTAAATTGATTGTCTCATCTTCACTTGATCATAGGGTTATCTGTACTTTGTGCAGTTAAGGAATTTAATCAGTTGTCTAGTTTCAAGGGAAAAAAATATTATGAGAAAAAACAAATATTGAAAAATTTTCTTTTCCTCCTTGGCTACACTAAAGGACTGAGATTTGAAACACTCAGGACATGGAAAGGTGTGTTTGATCTGCTTCTTGTCCTTTTTTTCCATGTTTTGGGTAGGCCTGCTGAAAACATATTTGCTCTTCCTGTTGATACATATCTTGCTTCCCTTTTGTTGCAACTGACTGGAAGGAGAACTTCCTCTCTCATTTCCATATTGCTTACAAGTAATATGCAGTTATATCTGCAGACAGTAAAATCCTCATAATTGATGATAAAGTTGGCAGGACTTATATGTGATAAATCTTCATGATAATATCCTGCATATATTCAATTATTCATCAAGTGTGCAAATTTCATTTAATAGGTAATGCAGTTTGATCGTTTCCAGAGATATTAGGTAGCATGCCTCATATCTCTTCCTGCATCGAGTGTACTGAAGCTAATCTTTTTCTTTTGTAACCAGGTACAATAAATTATTGAACTATATCTTAAATGAGGTTTTTAGATAATTACCATTTCAAATTTTGGAAATAGTGTAGTTTCCCCTCCATTTTGGCTTCTTAATTTTCGTTTTGAGCTCTCAGGCTTTGGTCCATGTACTTGTTGAAGAAACAGTGGTGACGTGATACATGAGCTACTGTGGCTATGTTATTTATGCTTAAACCGAATAATATTTTCTAACAGAGTTATAAATCATATTCTTGAGTTATAAATTCTTTTTGTATGAGCTATAGATAAATCACCATTGTATGGGGTTACTGGAAGCATGGAAATGACTAGGAGTGATATTTGCATTCAGGTGCAAAGAATTTGTTAAGAGGATTGATACTAACAACCCACAAAGAATGAGAGAGGGGCCATAATAAAATGCAAAATTGTGTTATTCAGTGCAACTATATTTCTTATGAGTTGAAGAAAGAAAATAAAAAAATGTTTCAACTGCTAGAAAGAAAGGATATCTTTTGTTACAGTGCTTTTGAGTGAATGTGCAGTAGATTTCAAATTTCGAAGAGATAATCTTGGATTTTTTTTCTTGACGATACTTTAGAGACAAAGGTCGATTTGTGCTTCTTGACAGCTACTGAGTCTAGGATCACTGATATCCTGGCCTTGATTAGTACTATTAGCCTAATTCACATGACGAAGTTTTCTGGTTTTTGTCGAAGTTTTTTATTTATGTTCCTTTCAAAGGTGATCATATGTCCACGGATATAGGAGCTTCAGTCATTAGGGTTGTAGGACAAAAATTGTAGAATCTGATAGTGTTTTTTAACTCAATGACTTCTGGAGAAAGATGTAGTGAATTATCTGCATCACGTCTTACATGACAGAGAGAGGGACCATTACATGACAAAGATGTAGTGAATTATATCTCTAACATAATGGTTCATAAATCTTAGTGTGCAATACTTTATAGGTCCTGGCTTCAAAATCCTTGTGGACACCTGTGTAAGTTCACAATACCCCATCTAGAACTTGTCAAAATGAACTCTCCTTTGGAAATCCCCATCTGATTAGGACTGAGCCAATGCAACCTACAAATCTAACTAAAAGTTTTGGATGAAGCATCTTAAGTTAGCATCTTAATTTATGACTTGGTTTGTAGGTTGCGTTGGCACAATCCAAATAAGGGACAGTTTAGTGGTTTGTAGGTTGCATTGGCACAGTCATCTCAAGTTATGACTTGGTTTGTAGGTTGGAAATCCCCATCAAACCAAGTGCCAATACACTTGCTTGTTGAGGAATTTAGCATCTTAAGTTAAGACTTGGTTTGTAGTAACCGTTGGAAATAATAGATAAGCTAGGTATGAGTTTATGGTCAAGTGTTTTGGCTGAGACACCAGGTTGCATAAGGGTTTGGTAGTCGAATGAGCGCCAGCTCTGCAAGATCATGATAACACAGAATAAAATTATTTCTATATTGTACCGAACAATGCTGACCTCATTAAATTGAACATCATAATTGAAATTACAAATCTCATGATACCAGATTTGCTTTTGTACTTACATATACGGACTTGTACATAGCATCCTTTATATTTAAAAATTCTCCAATTTACAACTTTGGTTCAAATATTGTATATATAAAGAAATCCTACTGATACAGGAACCACAACATGCCTCATTCGAGAAGGAACAAGGAAAAGGAAGCAGATTCAGCTCAGTTAAAGTGCCTCCCTAGTACAATGAAAATTTCATCCTGCACACAGTCAAGGGATAATCAGAATGGAACTTTGATGTCCCAAATTTCAGAAATAATGGGGAACTCTTCTGGCAAATTCTCACCACTCAATTCATCATATGGTGAAAACGAAAGGATTATAGATAAGGGATCATCTGTGAGGTCAGAATTTTACAGAGAAGAAAAAGAGAAGGTGATCAAGATCGAAGAAAGTTGAGTCTTATTATCCATGTTCCCTCTCGCTGAATCTTTATAGTTACTCGTTTCTTGCCCCTCAATTTCTGTTTCACTATTTTCCTGCAGGCTTAAATCTGGAGCTCGGTTCATAATCGAGTCTAGATCACTAGGTGATGATATTGAAGATACCTCTGAATGAACACAGGAACTCTGTGTTAATGTATCATGTCCCATTTCAGTATCAGCTTCTTTCTTTACAGCTGTGCTTGGAGGAATCTGTCCAACATTTAAAGTGCTTGTAAGTGCCTTTTATTCGTTTTTTTTTACTTATTCCAGTTCTTTTGAGTTGTCTTATTCTGACAACCCTAGCAAGAAACGTATAAGTTGGCTACCTGCAAAGAAATGTCATTGTTCCACTAATGTCTTGTGGCTTTTAAGCTGCAAGAAGAGAGCAATTCCTTACACACTGTGAGCTAAGGTTGCTCTCTTTTTTGGTGGTACAATAAAACACGCTGCATGACACTGTCGCATGTACATAACAAAGATGAAGGTGAGCTGTGCTTGGCTTCAACTTGAAAATCTTTACAGAACACTTTTCATTTTATGAGAAAACTATTGAAATCTGGGTGTAGTATTCTGGTTGCCCGTGTCAATTGACAATTATATTAAAGAACGTTCTTGTCCACCATGTGCCGAAGGTGAGTATTTTTATTTTACCATGGTTCCCATAGCTATGATGTTGGAATTTCAACAGGATATGATGTATCCGATAAGGTGATTCCTCTTTGATAATGGCATCGCAGGGGTTTGATATATATAGATCATGAAAAAATATTTTCTTCCTTGTAATTATGCATTTTTATTTAAGTTGCTGTCAGCTTTTGAATGGTTGATTGAAAGAAATGAACAAGTCAAATAGTATAGTATTTATTGCTTCTCTCTTTTTGACTTCAGTGAATTCACTTGTAAAATGTAAGGATACAACTGCTTTGATGTGGTCCTTATGTTTTTGTCAAAAGAGCAAAATAATGGGAGTCATGTCACTGTTTGCAAGATTTGCGGATACTCACACTCATCATGATGTATCGGTATAATCTATTTGCATTATGTTGCTACTTCCTGTGATGTTCAACCCCTCGTTTTGCACAATACCAACTGTGTGCTATAAATGCTGGATCTGCCCTCAGAATGAGAGCAACCGAACTCTCTCGTTCGTGTGGTCCAGAAGAGGATGTTCTTATGCGTCAGAGCTGCCACACTGATCATGTGTTGTGTCACATCAATTGTTCTATTGTTTGTTTCGACTTGCAGGTGAATGACAAACTTTTTGGAATCCATGAAAAGAATGTTCATGTGCCATATAAATCTGGTACGATCTTTCGGGTTCCCGATCAAGAATGTTTGAGGTGGATGAAAAGCATGTCCATGGGGTCTCTGGCACGGTAGGACAATGCCATGGATCACATTGGACAAAATAGTTTGCAACTGTAAGATGTAATAAAATAACATAAAACAAGATTGACATAATAAAATCAAGGAGGAATCTGACCCACCGGACCATCTCAAGACATTGACACAGCAACAGTTTGAGCTCTTTGCTATTGCAATTTTATGAAGCCTCCGAATCTGACGCTTCAAAATAAGAACACAGTTATATGAGATAAATCATGAACATCGCTTTTCTGTACAGAGCCGGAGTGACATTGTATTACAAGCTTTCAGTCAGCAAATTTCTTGAAATTCTATGAAAGAAAACTTTCAAACACATGCCAGCAGCTCGGGTTACAAAATATACTCAGAGCTCACGACACATGGAGCTCCATTACTAGGGTGCAACACAAGACACTAAATTTAACAACCCTGGAGCTGACAAAATCATCTTTTAATCAGAAGTCAAGTAGGTTGAGGCACCGCCTGTGACAGGGGCAATGTGAGCCAGGCCTTAAATATGTCTCAACAATAATATGATATCCACTGAGAGTCCTTACCTAGTCATAAAGCCCTTCTTCGTGCCAAATATCAACCAAAAAATCTACCATTTCCTGCATATGACCAATAAACATACAATAATGTATAACATACAATAATGTATAAGAAGATCTAAAAGATTATTCTAAAAACATTCTGGATTTAGAACTATATGGAAAATAAGATAGGGAAGCATGGACTTACAGATAATGGAATTGACTCTGGAAAAGGTTGGCTTGTCGATAGCAAGTCATCATATGTTGAGCACCAGCTGAACAAGACAAATAATTGAACGCTAAGGGAATAGAGATTACCATCATGATATATTCATAGTAATATAATGAGTATTTGATTAACAAAACTAAAAGCTCCATTCTAGGTCTTTGGAACATACAGTTACAGAGAATTTGAAATTAGAAAATGATATTGTTTAAAAATACATGTGAACTGGATTTTAGCTTAATCTTATACCTGCAGCTGCAAAGATTTAGATGCACTCATGCCATGAATGCCAAATTTACAACCCTAATTTGAACAAATTTTCCTCACTATGGAAACATGTGAGCTGATAGTCTCTTGAACTAAAACGGTAACAACATTTTACCTTGAGATAGTGTGCAAGAGAACTCAAACCAATTTCCTGAAGGCGGGGAGTAAACAGGACCTATTCTTTATCAATGAGATAGTGTGCAAGAGTATTAATCAAATCATTTGCTACTACGAAGATGAAGGCACTTGAGCTTGACACCTAATATGGTAGCAAAAATAGTTGTTTGTTAACAAATCAAGTCCTATGTCTTTCTACTTCTTTTAATCCTCTAATTCACCAAAAAGCAAATATTCTCTAACGTTTACCTTTCCATTGTACATTCCTCAACTCCACAGTCCAATAAGGAAAGCAAAATATACACCAACATAAAAAACTTCCATCAATGCAAAGTCTAAAGAGGGTAGATATATGTATTTAACCGTGCAAGCAGAGAAACTATTTTCTTGGCTTGAATCCTGATCATCCAAGTTGCAAAGAAAAATATCATAACTTGGCACCAAGGTCCATCCACTGAACATTTAGCAAAAGAAATAGGCTTGGTTGATAATATCATCTTATTCCCAACATAAAATAATCTCTCTGCTCATTTTCAGCCAGACTGCCCAACTGCCATGTTACATAGGTCAGTTCCAGAAACTAATTGGAGTTTCCTAATCCTTTTATACTCTAAAAACTTTATGCCAGATATGTCACCTGCTTTGCATTGTATATGAGCCAAACTTCATTTTTCATTTGCTCAAAGCATTAAGAATCATGAGTTTCTCAAGCATTCATCAAACACCAAGACACTTACTTTGGGTCAAAATCTTAGCATCACCAACTGTAGATCAACAAAAGAACTTTCTATGATGGAAGTAGGACTATAACCAACATGTGCCCTCAATGAGAATTTCAAAGTGAAGACTTAGAAAATATAATACTGACACAACAAATGTCAGGCAAATTGATCATATAATTTAATGTGAGAGGAAAATAATGCACAAATCTTAACTCCTGCCTATAGAGTAATACAGTCTTCAAACGCAGAAGTTACACCTATATACGAAGAACTCACAATCAAATCTAATAGAAATGATGAGGGACCAAGATGTCTACCTTATTGATGGTTCCCTTGGTATTCTGCGGCAACTTTTTGACTGGTCTCCTACCCATTCTTTTCTCATCTCATTCCAAGCTAAAGCAGCTGCAAAATGTAGGTTACAATTCTTGAGCATTAACATGAGCAATTTTTTTATCCTCCAATCCCCAGTGACAAATAATATGGAAACTTTTGATGAGTTTTGTTAAACAATAAACAGTAAAGAACAATGTAAACTAATATGCATCAACCAGCAAAACTGCAGATATTACTCAAGTACAAAAGTACAAAACAATGTAAACTAATAAGTAGGCACAGACAAAAAGTTATCCAGCTATTTCCTACTTCAACCTTCTGATAATATGTAGCCATTTTCGGCTTGTTAATAATGAAAAAATATGGATAACAAAGTAAAGATGTATTTCTCACGAAAGGCCCATCACTCAAGGCCTCAAACAGAAAACTCCTCAATCCTCAGCCCACAATATTGTTAATTGCCTGTAATATTACCAAAAGCAATATTGACAAAATGAATGTGTACAGAAGAACCTAGCATATTTTGATGTTCATATAGTAGAACATGGCAACCCTGTTATGTATGCATAAATGTAACTTGACCTGCTTTTTTTCTTAGAAAAAAATGTTTTCGGTTATCAAATTTCCACTCTGTTCACTATATAACAAATAACCAATATATATCTCATGCAAATTCTATATGTGACTCAACAAATGTCCACATGAGTGAAGTAGTCAAACTAAACAAGACCATAACAATTATTTTAAAATGGTATTACTACATAATAAGTCATATGTGATAGGACATACTGATATTTCATCATGAAATTTGTAAAGAAAATAATCAACAAGCATCAGGATTTGATTAGAAAACAATATTCATCAAGCTGGAAATTTTCAATACCATTTTGAGACAGACCTTGATTAATAAAGGCATGGTTGTTTTTATTTTCCAGTGGAACCTTCATGTCCTTTGCAACAGATGTGAGGCACAAAGGATGGTGTGCATCAAGGGAGTTAAAGTTGCCAAAATCATTTTCCATTTCCCTTGAACTTGATGACCATTGCCTTATCCAACACCTTGAAGATTGATCTCTCCAAAAGGATGACATCAGTGTTCTTTCTGAATTTGATCTGGTTTCAGCTTGGATGCCCAAACAACAACTGCTCTGCACAAACTTAAAGAAACTAAATGGTGTTCCATGAATACAAAAAGAAGAATGAACATTCAGAAATGAATTAGCTAAGGTAACTACTGCAGATCGTCCAGAAAAGAAATTGCAAACATACAGAAATAAATAGCTTGTCATCCTCATCTCAAGAAACAGAAATGCCTACCCCATGGAAGCTAAATTTACGTAACTTATGCAGGAGCATTCATCTATCAATATCACGTCTCCATGACAGCTCATCTAGTGATATCTAATGTAGCTTCCACATTCCTATCAGTAAAAAAGGAAAAAACAATGAGCTTCTAAATCCATCTGCATAAGCAACATCGAAGTTCTAAAATGTTCAGCAAATAAATAGTAGTAGTGAGCAAGAAAGCACCGTATGACTTAAATGAAAACCACAATTTCAGTTTCTCTGTTTACTTTTTTGCAAATGCCTTTAGTAACATTGGAACAATTATGGAATATAAATAAAAATACATTGTTTTACATCCAAATGTAAAATCAAATCAACTAAATGAATACCACAAAAGGAACAATCTGATCATGGTTTAAGACGAGAATATTGCAATGGCTTTGGATGTCCCTCGTAGTATGGTTCAATAGTAGACATATGATGGGAATGTTTCTTGTTCCACATAAAATGTGCTAATTTCTTGTTCCACAAATTGTACCACAAGTCATTGGTACATGTAGCTTGCCAAAAAAATCTCGTACCAACTAAACCATCTAACATAAATCCTTGGCAAAATCCATAAAGTTTATCACATTATTTTCTTACTTTGCAATCATTGGTATATTTCACTGTGAATAATAATACCATTAGTGTATTTGTTATTTGAAATTTCTACATAAGCTAAAGAGTATCACAACCCCAAGTTACTGTAGCATCCATTGCCTCTTTTAAATTTTAGGGCGTCACGGCAAGTTCTCACTCCTGTTGAATGGGGATGGCACATAATGGATTGCTTCATCCATAGTGGTTAGGCAGGACAAGCCGGATCAAGGCTGTGTCAAATTGATTGTGGACTGCTCCTATAGCAGTCAAAGGAGGGGGGTTTGGGTTTACTCTTAAGAACTCATATTGGTTCTTTCCTGGGTAAATTCAATACTGGTACAGGGAGCCTCTACAATGAGCTTGTTGCTATAAAAGATGGGTTATTCTAGTCAGCAAGGAAGGAATTCTATAAATTACTGTGATGTCAGATGTGGAGACGTCTATTCTCATATTGGACAAACGCACAAAACTCTCTTTTTTTTATATCATCTCTCTTTTTTTCTCATGTAGAACTCTCCCATTTGTTCGAGAAGGGTAACGAATGTGCAAACTGGCTAGCTAAATTTGCTAGAACCTCTAGGTCAACTTTTGTTTGGCTAGGGGAGGTACCACCTCTCTTCCGTAGTCTATTGTGTGGTGACCTCCAGAGCACAAGCTGTAATCACTTTTTGAGTTAAATGCATTTCTATTTAAAAAAAGAAAAAAAAACTTCTCTCGCCCACTAAGTTCTATATATTGTTTCCACAATTATTCAATATATCATCATAGATGCCATGAAGTACTTAGTAACCAGAAATTATGAGATGATAACAACTCCAGACAACAAGAAACACCTATCCAACACAAATTTCAGTTCAAGTAACACGACTCTGTCTAAGTTAGGATAATAACGTATGGCAATAGAGGAAGAGGAAGGGATGAGTTGTTAATTTCACTTTGTTACAACACAAGGGGCAATAAGAACACGATTTGATAGGAAAACAAAAATTAGCTCCAAATCTCCCCAATATGGGGAAGAAGCAAAAAATAAGGGTTTCGAAGAGAATCGAATTTCCTCCGATTCTCTCTCACGCATTCGCATCTAAACGAGATAATCCGTTTCTCTTCCCTTCACATCTAATTCTCCCCATCCAGGAATCACCCATCGCCCAGCTAAATTCACCGTGCAAAAGCATCACAAGAAACAACGATCGATCCAATTCATTCTTTGATCAGCCAAGCGCCCGAACCAGAATAAAAAAGAGACCACGAGTAGGGCAAAACCAAAAATTTCTTGCATCAACGGCAACAACTCAACTCAGAATTCAAATTCATTCTTTGATCAGCCAAGCGCCCGAACCAGAAAAGAAAAAGAGACCACGAGTAGGGCAAAACCAAAAATTTCTTGCATCAACGGCAATATCTCAACTCAGAATTCGAACAAGGAGAGAGGGTGAGAGGAAGAAGATCGCATCGAGGGGGGCTGGCATACCTTTTGCTCCCTGGAATTCCTTTGACGACGGGTTGGATGTTGGGGCGGCATTGGGATACCGTCGTCCGTTCGTCTTAAAGGCCGCGGTGATTGGTCGCGAAACGACAGCCGTCGATCTCTACCCGCTCCCCCAATGATGATGGCAGAATAGGCAATCTCGACCGTACGTTGGATGCATCTATTTTAATGGGATATTTACAGATTCGATGGGCGTGGCGGCGTTGGATATTTTGGAGACCACCGTATCAAGCTTTTCTATTACATTAATATTATTTATTATTCTTCTCCTCTCAAAACAATGTGCGGTGGAAGGATGGAAACCGTGCGAGAGGATTGGATACTGCCATTCCATGTTTGCCCTAATACCAATTTATCCCCCAAAAACACTTTAAATCAAATAAGTAATATCTACCCATTTTACTCACTTAAGTGTTAAATCTTAAATTTTGATGATGAAATAAATTAATAAGTTTGTGATCTAATTAATGTTTCAGAAAAAGGATACAGGACTAATTTTGGAAAGAGAAAATGATTAAGACAGAAGAATCAGACGTTGGAACGAAGTTAGAAATCAGGCATTCGGTTAGAAAAATCAAACATTATGCTAAGATCGGATATTACGAAAGTCAATATACCAAAAGATCAAGAAACATATCGAAGAAAAGTACGATACGCTAGGAGTTCGGATGAACCAATGATATATCGAATAATATAGAATTATTATATTTTAATCGTTTATATCTTAATCATCATAGTTAGGTCTTACTAACTCAATTAAGTTAGATCTTAAATTAAGTTAGTTTTGAGTGTAACCTTACTAACTCAATTAAGGGCCCATTAGGCTTGATTTAGGGCTGAGTTGGGCCAATTAGAAGGCTCATTCAGTGACCACATCAAAGCAAGTTGGTGGCACCGCTAAACCAAGCGATGGAACCACCTATGAGCTAGAATATATGAAATGTATGTTTTTCGAAAGACTCGATGATGGTATCGTCCAGACTGATGGTAGTACTACCAGTACACGATCTCCCATGATATCAAGCGGTAGTACCATCCAGACTAGACAATAGTATCATCGGTGGTCAATCCAGCAAGCGGTGGTATCACCTAGTATTTACGAAAATATCGTTAATATCCTGAAAACCTACGGATGAGACTTTTTTGGCTCTATTTTTGAAGTTATTTGAGCATATAAATACCTCACTTATTTTTGCTTGAGTAAGCAAGAAAAGTGAAAGAAAAAGCTTATGATTTTGAATTGTAAAGTCTTGAAAAGTATTAAGTATCTCTCTCCTCCCCTTTAAAGTTTAAAACTCATTCTAAGAGAGGTGCGAGACTTGTAAATGTTTCTCCTAAACGTATGAAAAAGAGAAAGAATTGTAAAGAGGTTAGTTGGTCTTCGCCTATTGAAAAAAGATCGTTAATGAACGCTAGTGGTTTTGACGGAAGAGGAATTAGGATTGGACATAGATTGCGACGACCAAACCACTTTAAATTCGATGTTCCTTTTTGCTCTTCGTTATTATTGCTTTATGAGTTAATTGCTTATTACGATTACTTTAAATCAAACACACTTTCATTATCGATTTTCAAAATTTTTTAAAATCGATTCAATTTTACGAAAGCACTAATTTGTCCCCTCATAACATAACATGGTTATGGTCTTAACATCGAGAACAACCATTTTTATCATTTAAGAAAATAAAATAACTCAACTAAATTTTAAAAATCACATTGTGTATTCATCTGCCAACATTAATCACGATAAGTAACGAATTCGGCAAAAAGAAGTAGATATAAATATTGCTTCATTCTAAGAGTTATAATATCCAATATTTTAAATCTCTTTAGTATTTTTATTATTTTAGAAAAAACTAAAATTTAAAATAAATAAAAATTACATAAGATATAATCTGAAAGATCGCTTCATGCATACATACTCAAGTCAAGTTTAGGTTTATGTTTGATTATCAAATAATTAAATAGATTCAAATTCTATTAGGATACTCTACCCATTTGATACGATCAATTTTCACTGTCAATCTGACCGCACGTGATGAAATTGATCGAATCTAACACATCTTTTTTAGTATTATGATTTTTTTAAAAAATATATACACGTTTGATTAATGGAATATAAATTTCATTCGAGATAAAAAAAAAAAAATGTGTTTAGTATCATGCTCTCATTTTAGCCTAATCGACTACACCGAATGTGCATCCGATAAAATATTTATCAAAATAGTTTTCATTCATTACCGATGAAAAAAAGCTTGTGAGGAGTCCGATCTACTCAAATTCAAAAACATAGCTGGAATAACTATATAGATGTAGTGTTGGCTTTATCGTTATCATCTTATGGCTTTAGGAGAGAATATTCCCTTCAAATGTCTTGTTGGCATGGTATGTTCAGATGACACATTGTTATTTCAAGACCGAGTAAATTACATATGTAGAGTCTGATCAAAAATAGTAACCATATTATTTGTTCGTGTTAGGGTTTATTTATTTCAAGGTACAATGTCCAATTATATAGTGTTGTAGATGCACTAGGCATAAGAGATGCTTTGTCCGATTATATTGTCCTTGGTGCTTTGATGTCCATTAAATGGATAGAGGTATCGTGCATAATAAGATACTCTGCCCAGTTAAGGTATATCGACTTCTTTAATATTTTTTATCCTAAGAAAATGTATGGAAAGATGCTGCACTTGGTTGGAGTATTATCATATATTTTGATGATTATGTCTTGAGTAAATATACATGTGCTTTGAATATTTTTTTAACCTACACAAATGTATCATATGCAAGCGATACTTTAATCATATTGAGTAATTCAAATGTTCATAGTCACAGTTTAATTAGGAGATAATTTGATTACATCTGATATTTTATATGTCGTTTTGTCATAGTATAAATATATTAGGTATAAGGGGATACTTCGATCATGTAGGATACTTTAAATATGTCACATACTTTTGTTAAGACGTGTTGAACATGGTGATATATTTGAACTATGAAGATCACATTAGATGTGTCGAGCACAAGAAGATATTGTTAGGTATAGGTATTATATAGACGATTGGTTGTAATGTTATTTGTCTATTTAATTCATGATAGATGAAATACCACTGACCCGAAGAAAGAATCACTACGAGAGAGGATGTAGGTTGGATAAGGGTTGACATCGCCAAATTAGGTTACAATACTGCCGATGCTTCTAAGAAAGTGACATCAATATTTAACGTGACGAATACATGATATAGGGTGGCCACTAAAGATTAGCCATCGATCAAGACAAGTCAACTGGTTGTCGACCTTGTTAGGTCAGGTTGATGGACTCTTCATATCGGGAGATAGCTCTTTGTGTTAAGTTTTAATCCAATTTACTAAGTTAGGAGATGATTTTATTAGGTGTCACAACATGAAAGATACGACAATGATGCGGTTGGCATAGAGAGACCGATTGACACAGCCATGAATTAAAGATGTGATGAAAATGTGGAAGACTACGAGATAATCGACATGTGGGCATGTTGAAGACGTCATCAGGATGTGAATGACATTAGTGCATGTTGACGAAACAGTGAAGACGTGAACAACTTCGAGACAACCAACATGGGTGTATGCCGACGATGCGATGAAGACATGGCCAACTTGGTGACATTGCGAGTGCAAGAAGAGACAAGGCGAGGCGAGTGCAAGGAGATGGCGATGTCAACTACCGGTGCATCGTGACTATAAGGGAGCATTGGACTCCACATCATGGATATAGTGGCCAAGCTATTTGAGTTGTGAGACAGTTAAGCTTGTATGAGACTCCATCATTAACGGCTTGGTGGTTGATGTTTTATTGTGTTAACGTAGTATCCAATTTTCATACACATTGTTCCATAACTAGTATATGAAAGGAAATAATAATAACATGTATACTATGATTAGTGATATTTATACTTCATAAATATAATATATGATATGTTTATTGATAGAGAATATTAATCATCATATGACATTAATCTGATGTTTAGGGTAGAGAGAGTGTTGGAAAAACTAGTACAACATCATATGTGCAACCGGAAGGATAAAAAATAAAAATCTCATATTTTCACAGAAAATGATTTCTTATTATCGTATAAAGATTGATTCACAAAAGCCCGTAAAATCAAAAAACCATGCATGTTAAGAGATGTGTGTTACCTAAAAAGATCGTATATCCTTGAAAATCTATAGATCTATGGGAAAGGATGAAAAAGGTCAACTATCCTTCTCTCTAGCAATGATCCACATGGTAGGGGCTATGGAGACGCTCCTCAAATCACTGCATAATCCTCGTTTCCATATGTACCACACGATCAAGAAGGGGCTGACCCTTTTTGCTGTCTACATGCCCCAAGCAAGGGCTGCTGGTTGAGAAGAATAGGAGGTGGCAACTAAAAGGGGTATAGCCTATGACCTTATGGTTCCTTCTTATTTATAGAGGTCCCTTGTCAACTTAACCCTAATAGATCCTACCATATTAGGTATTGGATCCTCATCCAACTACCCAAGCCTCTTAGATTAGTGGATCTTTACCCAATAATCTCTCATAGCTCTTATTGGATCTCATCCATAGGATCCAATAATTCAGAGGCTTTTGGAGATCCAATAAGATAGGGGTTCCAACGGATATCTCATATTCGAACCTCTACTCATCGCAACATCTATAATATGCGTGTAACTCTCTAGGCCTAATATCGCGTTGGTCATGAGTCATGCCTATCATAACTCCTTCTGGTTCTATGAATTATTATCTCCATAATAATTCACTCGACTCATTGACTACGAACGTACTACGCCACTATGACGTAATCCCTAAATGATACAGGAGAATCCAATCCATTAGACTTGTCTATCCTTAATTACCATGTATCTATAGTCATTCATCCATCTAATATCTGAGAGACCGTATATCGGGCATGGTATTGTTAAGCCTATACGATTTCTACTCGAGTCTCACTCTAGTCAGATTCTCCCAGAGAACTCTTTCACTCTCACCCTAATCGGATT